CCACATCTATCCAAACCCTTCCTCTCCTTCGAAGCCCAGTTCAAGTTCTAAGTCTGTGTACCTCCCTGGATTCTCAACAATTTCCCCCATTGTCTGAAGCACCTAGGAGATGACACAAACCAGCTCCTCAATTACACAGGGTAGTCAACACAATGTGGTTACTCCTCCTCTTTTAGGGGCACAGCACCTCTTTTACCAAAAATGTCTCCCCCTCCATTAGGCCAATCAGTGCCTTTTGGGGGGTGGGAGGGGTTCTGCCTTTTGGATCAGAGAGTGCAGCAGTCAGTCCTGCTCCAGTGAGGAAGCCATACATTCAGGCACTTCAGGAGCTAAAATTCCTACCAGGAGAAGCTGTTCTGTGCTGTCAGCAAATGAAGCCCCAGAGAGAGGCAGAAATGGGTCAGATAGACCCTGGCTCCAGGGGTCCTTAGGCACAGCCACACCAGCTGCAGCCCAGTGTGGTTGTCTAGCTCTACTTTAGTGTCCACAAGCCAGTCATTCATGCCTATTTTGTCCAAGCTGGTTAACTGGCTTTCTGTCACTTGCAATTGAAAGTACCTCGTACAGCTGGGCACGGTGGCTCGCGCCTATAATCCCAGCACTTTGGGAGGCCGAGGTAGGCAGATCATGTGCCAGAAAAGAGTATCTGGCACATAGTAGGCATGCAGGAAATGTTCATTCCCCTTTCCTCCTTAAAGATAGGCTTATACTTCTGGGTCTTTCAGTATCTCTATTCTGTGATCACTGAACTCAGAAACAGCAAATGAATTTTACTAGCTGTTTGGAGAATAAATAAGGATATAAATATTAAGTGAACAAGCAATTACAAGCTTTAGTTTGAAATAGCAATTTTACTTTGACACCTGGATCTCTTTTTCCTGTATCACTATTAGTTAAATCCCCCCCCATTTATAATTTAATAAACAGGCTACCACGAGATATAATTTGGAAAAACTAGACACTGTGCTTTATTTGAGAATAGCGTAGAGCATGGCTGGAACTCTGCCAGTAGTTTTTAACATTCTGCCCTAATCAGGGTGTTAACTCTCCAACACTGTTGGTATATGGCTAAGTGCTGCAACGTTCTCAAAGGTTGAAATAAACACTAAAGATGAGTCCATAAGAAGGAAAATAAGCTGGTTTTCTTTCTGTTCCGTTTAAAACTCTAGCTAGAAATACTGCCCAATGCATAATGAAGACTGTACACAGCAGCACCAAAAAGGCTATTTACAAGAGATTTTCTTCTACAGAATCTCCTTGGAAGAACTGAGAATTTGCATCTTAGCTAAGAGCAGTTCACCAAGGAACAGGGCCATCTAAGTGCCTAACTAGTATTTGAAGTTGTCAAGGGGTGGGGATGTGCAAATTAAGCAGCAAAAGATTCTCATTTTGCCTTAAGGGAAAGTGATAGTGGTCAGAGGGGCCAGTTCCAAGGGCTGGTCCAAGGGGGGCCGCTGGTCTTGGTACTCTGCCACATGCCCATTCCTGTGGTGGCCATACTCAAACTTGATCCGCAGCTCACCAATCTTAGATTGGGGAAGGATATCTGGGATCCACTCAATGATGAAAGGTGTTGGCTCCTTTTGATCTGGGGAAGTGTTGCCTAAAGAGGAAAAAGGAGTATTAGTACAATTCCATCTGACTCTAATGGGTGTTCCTAATTGCAAGAAGAGGCGTCTGGGATTGGAGCAGTCTGTTCAGCTTTGATAATCAGAAGGCTGCATAAGGTTTATAAGTTCAGTGGTGAATGGGATATCAGATTTATTGATCATCATGAAGTTAAAACTACATATATCGGCCAGGCATGGTAGCTCATGCCTATAATCCCAACAGTGTTGGAGGGCAAGGTGGAAGGATAGCTTGAGCCCAGAAGTTTAAGACCAGCCTGTGCAACAAAGTGAGACCCTGTTTCCATCAAAATTGGCCAAGTATGGGCTGGGCGTGGTGGCTCACACCTGTAATCCCAGCACTTTGGGAGGCTGAGGTGGGAGGATCACGAGGTCAGGTGTTCAAGACCAGACTGGCTAACATGGTGAAATCCTGTCTCTACTAAAAAATACAAACATTAGCTGGGCATGGTGGCTTATGCCTGTAATCCCAGCTACTTGGGAGGCCGAGGTAGGAGAATTGCTTGAACCCGGACCCTGGAGGTGGAGGTTACAGTGAGCCAAGATCGCACCACTGCACTCCATCCTGGGCTACAGAGTGAGACTCCATCTCAAAAACAAAATTAGGCCGGGCGCGGTGGCTCAAGCCTGTAATCCCAGCACTTTGGGAGGCCGAGGCGGGTGGATCACGAGGTCAAGAGATCGAGACCATCCTGGTCAACATGGTGAAACCCCGTCTCT